CCTGCATTGGCAGGCAGATTCTTTACTACTGAGCCACCTGGGCTTTGCTTATTAAGTACCACAATTGTCTTATAAAATTAAAGAAGAAAGCTGAGCCTAACTCTGTTTTGGCTTGGAGTCTACTAAATCACTGGCTCTTTTGCTCCCTGAAATTAGTACATGACTAAATAAGCTCTTGTCCTCTAGTAGATACTAATTTTAGAGCACAGGATGTTAGAACTGAATGGTTCTTTAGTTCTAATACAGCTCCCTTTGCTCATAGTTGAAATATGAGCCTGGGAGAGAAAAAGAAATTTGCCCAAAGATTTATTGATTAGAGCTGTTGGAAAGTTGGGATGTTCCAACCCTGCCTGCTCAGATGTGTTTGTCTTGACATTGTTGTTGTTCAGTCACGCAGTTGTGTCCAACTCTTTGTGACCCCATGAACTGCAGGATGCCAGGCCTCCCTATCCCTCACCATCTCCCAAGTTCATGTCCATTGCATTGGTGATGCCATCCAGCCATCTCATCCTCTGATGCCCTCTTCTCCTTCTGCCCTCCATCTTTCCCAGCATCAGGGACTTTTCCCGATGAGTTGTCTATGCACATAAGATGACCAAACTACTGGAACTTCAGCTTCAGCATCAGTCCTTCCAGTCAATATTCAGGGTTGATCTCCCTTAAGATTGACTAGTTTGATCTCCTTGCTGTCCAAGGGACTTTCAGGAGTATTCTCCAACACCACAGTTCAAAGGCATGAATTATTTGGCATTCTGCCTTCTGTATGGTCCAGCTCTCACAACCATATATGACCACTGAGAAGACCATAGCTTTGACTATATGGACTTTTGTTGACAGAGTAATGTCTTTGCTTTTCAAAACACTGTCTAGGTTTGTCATCTAGGTTTGTGTATGTCTTCAGTCTCCAAAACAAAATATGTTACTTATAGATAGAGACCAAACATGTATACATGTATTATTAATAGTTTCTTAAGGCTGCCATACCAAAGTACTAAAAATTGGATGGCTTCAAACAATAGGAATTTACTGTTCCACAATACTAGAGGCTAAACGCCTGAAATCAAGGTCTTATGTGAGCCATGCTCTCTCTGAGAGTTCTAGGGAAGAGCCCTCCTTGCTTCTTGCATTTTCTGGTATTTTCCAGTAATCCTTGGCATTTCTTGGTTCATGGATGCATCTCTCTAATCAGTGCCTGTCATCATATGCATGGCTTCTGCCTGTCTGTCATTACTTCATCTTTCCTCTATGCATGTCAGTGTCTATGTCCAAGTGTCTCCTTTTATCAGGGCACCAGCTATTCTGAAATAGGGTTCATCACAATATCCAACATATTGTTTGGGGAAGCACAGTTCAATTCCTAACAGTGTACCCAATGACCTCCCAGTACTCATGTTTTCCTATATGCAAAGCTGTTCATGACGTCTGGGGAAGGCATGGACAGACCTTTCTAAAGGAATAAAATATTCACTTACTTTTGTGGAAATTGTCAAGATAAATCTAAATTTTACTTGGAAAATTTAGGAGTGCACAGAACAATTTTGAAGATGATTAGCAAAGCTACAAGAAGGTGGTGCTAGTGGTAAAGAACCCTCCTGTCAATGAAGGAGATATAAGAGATGCAGGTTCTATCTCTGGACTGGGAACATCTCCTGTAAGAGGGCATGGCAATCCAGACCATTCTTGCCTGGAGAATCCCATTGACAGAGGAGCCTGGAGGTCTACAGTTTGTATGGTCCCAAAGAATCAAACATGACTGATGTGACTTAGCGTGCACATATGGTTATGTACAACAAAACAATACAAATGAGCAATATTTTCAGAAAAGCTGAAGCATCAGAAACATTGTTTTTAACCTGGTTAATTTGGTTGTAGTAAACTACAACCAAAACTTGGTTTTGTTTTGGTTGTAGTTTACTAGTTGTAGTTTCACCTAGTCAGTCAGTCAGTTAAGTCACTCAGTCGTGTCCAATTCTTTGCGACCCCATGAACCACAGCATGCCAGGCCTCCCTGTCCATCACCAACTCCCAGAGTTTACCAAAACTCATGTCCATTGAGTTGGTGATGCAATCCAACCATCTTATCCTCTGTCCTCCCCTTCTCCTCCTGCCTTCAGTATTTCCCAGCATCAGGGTCTTTTCAAACGAGTCACTTCTTTGCATTAGGTGACCAAAGTATTGGAGTTTCAGCTTCAACATCAGTCCTTCCAATGAACACTCAGGACTGATCTCCTTTAGGATGGACTGTTTGGGTCTCTGTGTATTCTAAGGGACTCTAGAGTCTCCTTCGACACCACAGTTCAAAAGCATCAATTCTTCAGTGCTCAACTTTCTTTATAGGCCAATTCTCACATCCATACATGACTACTGGAAAAACTATAGCCTTGACGAGATGGGCATTTGTTGGTAAAGTAATGTCTCTGCTTTTTAATATGCTGTCTAGGTTCGTCATAACTTTCCTTCCAAGGAGTAAGCTTCTTTTAATTTCATGGCTGCAGTCACCATCTACTAGGACATCATATACGTTTTATGGATTAATTTCTGAAATATTTATTTATGAAATATGTAAATACAAGAGAAAATCAGGGCTCTTTGATTTTCAAAATGATTTGGATAATATAAATATAAACATAAAATATTTAGAGCAGTGCATCATCTAATTTTTGTTCTCTGTGCACCAATCTCTAAGCTGTTTCATCTTCTCTCCTCTGAGGATACTACTCCTCAGAGCTGCATGTTGTAGGCTTTTTGCCAACATTATGACACTAAAGAGTCTATAGGGATTTTATTGAATCTGGGCCTCAAGGACCCTTTTGTTTATTCATTATGCTGTAAATATGCTAAAGAAAGCAAATGCCGACTTTGTTAATGTGCAAACCTCTCTTTGCCATGAGAAATCAGAATATAAAGATCTCCAAAGGCTAAGAAAATTCCTAGTAAATCTCAACTCTTGGAACTGCTTTTTATTTCAGGTATAGGCAGAAAGAGAAATTATCTCCTAGGCNTGCTGTAAATATGCTAAAGAAAGCAAATGCCGACTTTGTTAATGTGCAAACCTCTCTTTGCCATGAGAAATCAGAATATAAAGATCTCCAAAGGCTAAGAAAATTCCTAGTAAATCTCAACTCTTGGAACTGCTTTTTATTTCAGGTATAGGCAGAAAGAGAAATTATCTCCTAGGCTTATAATAGCCAGAGTGATTTGTCAGGAAAATTTTTTAATTTTTGGTGATGAATAACAGAAAGACATGCAATAAGAAAACAGTATATAGAGTGAAATTATGAGCAAGAGAGAATAGAAAGGCACAAATGAATTTTAGCCTTAAGAATCAATGTTGCTAAGCAATTACCTGAAATTATGATTGCCTGGCAAAAAAGTAAGTATGATAAAGTTTTTATTTTCAGTGTTCTTTGTAAGAAATGGTCATAGATTACTACGTAAGAAATCCACTATATTTGTCTTTATCAAGTCAGGACTCTTAGTGTACATTTTGATATTTCTGAAGAAACCAAAAGTTATTTATTGTATGTCAGTTGTAAAATTTATTATCCTTCCAAAAATAAAATTGTGCACAAATTATTTTAAGCATTAATTGTGATGTACAGTTTGAGATATATCACGACAATAAGCATCTACCTTATCCTCGATCATAATATAAACAAAAAATATATACACATTAATACATACAAATAAGATCATCTCTCCCATGGAAAGAGCTCATACAGTCTGATAAGTTATCATGTATTTTGACACCCCTCTCTTTCTTTAAAAATACTGATTTATTAGAATGTTAAAAAAATGAGAAATTAATCAGTTACATCCTAGGTCAATTACTTTCTCAAACTCTGATTTATAACATCTAGGAAAAACTGAGTTTCATGTAATGAATTGTATTAATGATAAAAAAAGACACCATATTATTTTTTAGAACACTGATAAACTATTTGGAATGTGAAAGTCTGAGTTCAGTATCACAGTGATGTCTTAAGTGCTCACATCTCACTTTGAGCTGTCAAAGTGTTCACAGCATCTCAAATTTATCTGCCATGGTTGTACCCTGGGTAACCCCTCACTTGGAAAAGCTTTCAACCTTCAAGCAAAGAATAAAGCAAAACTATTTTCTTCTGTATGATAGTAGCTGTAAACCCTGGAGTTTAGTTGGGAACACTATAAATTTGAGCAGAGAGTTGAACCTTACTCCTTGCATCATTAACAAGGAGTATATTTGCTCCATTTTTTAAGGTACATTTAAAATGTTTGCTGTAAAGACAGGAAAAAAAGTTAAATCACATAAAATAATTCCATTCTGCAGGGGAAATTTCTTAATTGTTGATTGACAAAGGGACATCCCAAGCCTTGGAGGCATGAATAAATCCTGAAAACAATTGAAGTTGGTATTTTTATAATTAATTGGTGAGAGTTAAAGAATAACCTTAGAAAAAAAATTCCTAGGATTACAAAGTATTTTACCACTAGCTTTCATAATGTCTGGATAGACAGACTTTTAAAATGTTTGCTGTAAAGACAGGAAAGAAGTTAAATCACATAAAATAATTCCATTCTGCAGGGGAAATTTCTTAATTGTTGATTGACAAAGGGACATCCCAAGCCCTGGAGGCATGAATAAATCCTGAAAACAATTGAAGTTGGTATTTTTATAATTAATTGGTGAGAGTTAAAGAATAACCTTAGAAAAAAATTCCTAGTATTACAAAGTATTTTACCACTAGCTTTCATAATATCTGGATAGACAGACTGAGCCAAAACTATTAGGAACAAAGATAAAATTATCTGATTGAAAGATGAGGCAAGAATGAAAATACAATAGCTATCAACGTATGTAAAATAAAATACTGCTCATGGACAAGATACTCACTTCAAGACAGTCAAGTCGGTTTGCCTTTCATTTACAGCCAGTGTTGAGCACTCATTTTGGCTTCATTACACTCTTTTCAAGTGTCTCTGAATTTTTCCTGATGACTGGGCAAAAGCAGAAATCCTTGATGAGAAACCACACAATAACAACATTCATCCTGCTGGGACTGACTGATGACCCACGAATGAAAGTTCTAGCTTTCATCTTTCTTTTTTTCACCTACATGTTGAGTGTAGCTGGGAACCTGACCATTATCTCCCTCACCCTCATGGATGGCCATCTCAGGACAGCCATGTACTTATTTCTCCAAAATTTCTCTTTCTTGGAAATCTCATTCACAACTGCCTGTATTCCCAGGTTTCTGTACAACATAGCAACTGGTGACAAGGTCATTACCTACACTGCTTGTGCTGTTCAAGTATTTTTTACTTACCTTTTTGGGATAATGGAATTTTGTCTTCTAGCTACTATGTCCTTTGACCGCTATGTGGCCATTTGCAAACCCCTGCATTATGTGACCATCATGAATAACAGAGTCTGCCACAGGCTTATCATCAGCTGCTGGATAGCTGGTTTGTTAATCATCATTCCTCCACTTAGCCTGGGCCTCAATCTGGAATTCTGTAACTCTAATGTCATTGATCATTTCTTCTGTGATGCCACTCCCCTCCTAAAGATATCATGCTCAGACACATGGTTCATAGAGAGAATGATTCTGGTGTGTGCTGTCTTGACGTTCATCATGACTCTTGTGTGTGTTGTTCTGTCCTACATGTATATCATCATGACAATTCTAAGATTCTCTTCTTCTCAGCAAAGGAAAAAAGCCTTTCAACCTGTTCTTCCCACATAGTTGTAGTTTCCATCACTTATGGCAGCTGCATCTTCATCTATATCAAACCTTCATCCAAAAAAGAGATGGCTCTTAATAAAGGAGTTTCTCTGCTCATTTTTTTCTATTTCACCCATACCTGGAAAATTATCAATAGTTTAATAATTATTATTTTCATTGTTTAGATTATCTTATAACAAAAAGATATTGAAAATAGAATAGCATATGTCTATGATCCTACACTAAGTGCTGCATAGGGTGAAGATGAGTGAACAAACATATTTAAAAATATACCCAAGCAGAATAAATTTAAACACCACAAAGATATGTAATATGCAATCTCAACAGTCACATGATGAAAAAAGTTAGAAATCGTGTAATAACATGAACATAACCATATTAATGCACATTCAATGGAATGGAGAATTAAAACATAATGTATCCAACCACAAATTTGGATAAGTTTGAGCATTTTTACCTATCAGATAAAAAATAAATAAAATGAGAAAAATAAATTCTCTAATGTAATTTAAACTCTCATTATAACAGCAAACAAGCAGAATGTTTAAAGCCCACAGATCAGATGTAAAATTCAGATTCTTCAAACTTAAAATATATCTTTTAAAATAAGTCAAATGTCAATTAACAATAGATTAAAATTTTGAGAGTGAAATTACAGCATACCTGGCAAACAATGGCATGACAACAATCCATATCTAAAGAATGTATAATTATAAAATTTGTACATATATTGCATATTTGCATGTATAAAGTTGAAGTTGAGAGTAATTCATGTGTTTACACTTTCTTGATATTAAAATATTTTTAAGTAGATTAAGAATAAAGGGACTGATATGCCACTTAATTAGGAGAGCTATAATACAAGATGAAACAAAATAGAACAATGAAAGTTTAAGATAAAAAAGCAAAAACAATTATCAGTAAAATTTATGTTAAATATTTCACAGACTGATTCTTTATGATACTCAGGAAAAGAATCTTACACACCCAAATATGGGGAGGAAAAACAGAAAGCAACATATTGAAGATTAAGAGTTAGAAACAAGATATAAATAAAAACAGTTAAGAGATTCAAATAGATATAAATGCATGCTGCATCTGATTTTACAACAAAAGATACAAAAATTGAAAAAGATTTTAAAAATTCTTGATAAAATATGAAAAAAAGGAATTAAAATTTGAATACAGCAAGGCCTCTAAAATTTCTTGGGAAAGTAAATGAATTTCTGGCTGTAAAATAAAGGAGAATGAAACCATTAAAAAAAAATTCTCAGGAACTCTTAATATATCCTAAATAATTTCAGCCTAAATTAAACCAATCCAAGCCATTGAAAAAGAAAACATCACAATTTCATTATGTATATAAATAGAAATGTTCTATATAAACTATATATAAGTACATTTTGCTGCTGCTGCTGCTGCTAAATCATTTCAGTCGTGTCCGACTCTGTGCGGCCCCATAGACGGCAGCCCACCAGGCTCGCCCATCCCTGGGATTCTCCAGGCAAGAACGCTGGAGTGGGTTGCCATTTCCTTCTCCAATGCAGGAAAGTGAAAAGTGAAAACTGATCATGAAGTCACTCAGTCATGTCTGACTCTGCAACCACAGGGACTGCAGCCTACCAGGCTCCTCTGTCCATGGGATTCTCCAGGCAAGAGCACTGGAGTGGGCTGCCACTGCCTTCTCCAACCTAACACCACACACAAAGATAAATTAAGAATTGATTAAAGACCTAAATGTAAGACCAGAAACTATAAAACTTTTAGTGGAAAACATAGGCAGAACACTCGATGACATAAATCAAAGCAAGATCCACTGTGACCCACCTCCTAGAGTAATGGAAATAAAGAAAAGTAAACAAGTGGGACCTGATTAAACTTAAATCTTTTGCACAGCAAAGGAAACTATAAGCAAAGTGAAAGGAAAACTTTAGAGGAGAAAATAATAGCAAATGAAACAACTGACAAAGGATTAATTTCCAAAATATACAAGCAGCTCATACAACTCAATGCCAGAAAAAGAAACAATCCAATCAAAAAGTGGGAAAAAGACCTAAACAGACATTTCCCCAAAGAAGATATGCAGATGCCTAACAAACACATGAAAAGATGCTCAACATCACTCATCATTAGTTCAGTTCAGTTGCTCGGTTGTGTCCGACTCTTTGCGACCCCATGAATCGCAGCATGCCAGGCCTCCCTGTCCATCACCAAATCCCGGAGCCTACCCAAACCCATGCCCATCGAGTTGGTGATGCCATCCAGCCATCTCATCCTCTGTCATCCACTTCTCCTGCCCCCAGTCCCTCCCAGCATCAGAGTCTTTTCCAATGAGTCAGATCTTCTCATGAGGTGGCCAAAGTACTGGAGTTTCAGTTTCAGCATCAGTTCTCCTAATGAATACTCAGGACTGACCTCCTGCATATCAAAACCACAATGAGATGTCACCTCACACTGGTCAAAATGGTCATCATCAAAAAGTCTACAAACAATAAATGCTGGAGAGGGTGTGGAGAAAAGGGAATGCTCTTGCATGGTTGGTGGGAATGTACATTGACACATACACTTTGGAAAACAATATGGAGATTCCTTAAAGAACTAGGAAAAAAAAAAACAAAACACCATATGACCCAGCAATCCCACTCTGAGGTATATACCCTGAGGAAACCAGGGTTGAAAAAGATACTTGCATCCCATTGTTCATTGCAGCACTACTTACAATAGCTAAGAACATGGAAGCAATCTATATGTCCATCAACAGATGAATAGATAAANTATATTTATGATCTGCCTGAAATAGAAAAGTGGGGAAAACAATGAAATTTTGAGTATTGATTTTGGGGGAGAAGACTTCCCTGACAGCTCAGCTGATAAAGAATTTGCCTATAATGCAGGAGACCTGGGTTCAATCCCTGGGTTGGGAAGATCTCCTGGAGAAGGAAATAGCATCCCACTCCAGTATTCTTGCCTGGAAAATCCCATGGATGGAGGAGGTTGGTAGGCTAGAGTCAATAGGGTCACAAAGAGTCAGAAATAACTGGGCAACTTTACAAAAAAAAAAAAAAGAAGAAACAGACATAGACAACCCACTCCAGTATTCTTGCCTGGAAAATCCCATGGATGGAGGAGGTTGGTAGGCTAGAGTCAATGGGGTCACAAAGAGACAGAAATGACTGAGCAACTTTACAAAAAAAAAAAAAAAGAAGAAGAAGAAACAGACATAGACAATAGACTTATGGACATGGGATGAGCGGAAGAGAGGTTGAGATGTATGGAAAGAGTAACATGGAAACTTACATTACCATATGTAAAATAGATAGCCAAGAGGAATTTGCTGTATGGCTCAAGAAACTCAAACAAGGGCTCTGTATCAACCTAGTGGGGTGTGATGGGGAGGGATGTGGGAGGGAGGTTCAAAAGGATGGGATATTTGTATACCTATGGCTGATTCATGTTGAGGTTTGACAGAAAACAACAAAATTCTGTAAAGCAATTATCTTTTGATTAAAAAACTAATTTTTTTCAAAAAGGTAATCAATTGGAAGCACAAAGTATTTCAGGTGGAAATAAAAAAAAAGCTATATGAAAAAAAAGCAAAAAAAAAAAATAGAATTGCCATTTGATTCAGCAATTCTACTTCTGGGAATTTATCCAGATAAAACAAAAATATGAGCTTGAAAGATACATACACCCTCACATTCACTGCAGGATCATTTACAATAGCCAAGACATGGAAACAATCTAAGTG